TCAGCCGGAGAGAGGGAGACATCTCGGTGTATACGAAACCGTTATATACACGGTGACGAAAAATACGTCCGAACGACCGGGACACTCTGACGTTTCCCATTGTGCCCGTTTACGGTACCGTGGAGCCTCATGGTTGCCCGGCACAAAGGCAACCTTCGAGGTTGCCTCCCCCTGTCGCACGGGTATCGCTGTCGTTGCGCTGATATCATCTGACTCCTTTCTTTCCCTCTCTCTGTCTCTCTCTGTATGTGCCCGCGAACACTCGCCGATAAGGATCGTTATTAGCCGCGTCCTTCCGGCACGATTCTCGGTTAACGAAGCGAAGCAGCAGCCACTGTCGCCAAGAACGTGTCCCCATCTTGTTCGCGACCACCTCGTGTGTCTCAAGGTACTAACATTCTTTTGGTCACGCACGACGACTGTACTCGAATGATTCCTGACGGTCTTGCCTGGAGAACGTACGACTCGAGTGGCAAGATTAATTCTTGAGGTGTTCGTGATGCCTCCAGGATTGTCAGAAACTTGTCGAAAAGGGTTGAATCGGTTGTGGGAATATCTTGACAAACTGTTAATGGAACATTGTGCTGGTAAAGTTCTTATATTTCAGAGACCATTCCCGTCGACGATTCTGCAAAGAATGCCCAGTTCTGCGTCGTAGTAGCAAGACAGTCCTCTGCCACACGACGTAGTACAGTAAATGTGTTCGAAGGATCTGGCAATGAGAGGTCCCCAGGTATAACTTTTTCATCAGGTTTACCACAGTGATAGAGCCTGGAATTCTGAAGCCAATGATATTCATTTCAGCCCCATATGGCCATTAGTTTATGAAATATTGAATGTTCAGTGCCAGGGAGCCTTCGAACAATCATCCAAGATTTACTGTACCGGGAAAAGGTCTAATTTATGGCACCCCAAGTGTCCATCGCTTTCTCTTCCTGAGCTCCGTCGCAACTAAATACCCGCTCGGAACATTCGAAAGTTCTCAATCTTTTACAGAATCTAAACGGCAATTCAAGGAAACGCCCCAAAACTGCGTCCATTTCATTCACCGGGTATGTGATCGGGTTAAGATAATTCCTAAGCTCGTGGAATGAGTACGAGCGGATTCATCATGTAAGCTTGTTCTTTAGTCCTCCCCGCCCCCCCCCCTCTGACATGCAAATGCGCTATTACGATTCGAAATCTCATATGCGGATCGCGGACTTTCCGCTGGTTGTTCGATGAACGCGCCGATGAACCGTCTTGGTTGAGTAACAGAACGCGCGTGAATATTTAACCCTCGTGTGCGGTGTTCGGGTCAGTTTAACCCAAACTTGAATTTTTAATTCTTTATCGAAGAAACTTAGGGGAAACAGGCTTCAATAAACTCGAACGAATATTAATTTGGTACCAATAGTTTACATATAGTATAACGTTCAAGGGACACGCAAATGTATTTTCTCAATTCGATTTTTAGTTTAGACTAACAAGGGAAGGCACCGAAGTGTCCCCTTCGATTTTGATGAAACTTCGTATGTCTGTTAAGCAGTCAAAAATAGGGGATACGTATTTTTTTTTATCGCCTGAGACGCGACTTTAAGGGGTGAAACAACCCCTCGAAATTTCGATCCGAAAGTTTTTTGTTATAAACAAATTATATTTTGGAAAATTTGTTAACGCCATATTATTCTACATAAAAAACTGCAAACCTCGTTCCTCAGAAGTTTTCATGTATCTCTTCTGGTATTCGAGATAGTACTTTCGGGCCGAAACTTCGAGGGGTGGTTTCACCCCTTAAAGTCGCGTCTCAGCCGATAAAAAAAAATACGTATCCCTTATTTTTAACTGCTTAACAGACATAGGAAGTTTCATAAAAATCGCAGGCGGACACTTCCGTGCCTTCCCTTGTAAGTTCAATATAAGAAATAGTAGTGTAAAAATTTATCGAACGATAAACGCGGGTTAAACGAAAGCGACATATTAAAGGAACCTCAATTCGAGTCTCTTTCGAGAGGAACTGAAGCGAAATCAAGATTACCGTCAAGTGACGCGTCTAAAAGATTTTACCGTGTAAAGAACTGCAACGAGTGCAACCGTGTTTTCCTTGACTCCGTAACAGTTTACGAGTCTGTTTTATCACGCCTTTAAAGACTTTACACCGTGAACGTTGATCCCGCGTTTGAATTATATCATTTGGATCCTTGGACAAAGTGGCGAACCACGGTTTCGTACACAACGCAAGGAAACATATCCATCGCGGTGTTTATGAATGAAACGAATGAATTTATCAAGCGTCTGCATATGTCTTCCTCTCTTTTTTTTTTCTCCGCTGAATGAATTTAGACAGGAAACCAGAGGAAGAACTCAGCGAACCGCGATACACCGAGGATATTCACAGGTGAAGAAGCTCGTCACTCACCGGAACCATAATCTATACTCGGCGTGGGTGGAAGGTGGCTCTCAATGGCGGCCTTGCTGAACAAATAGATCGGATTCGTGTCGGTTCCGGCCGAGTAGGAACATACACGCGCGTTCGGTTCCAGGCTCTCGCCTCCGCTCATCAGGAGCACCTGGTGCGCCGCGACCACGCCGCATTCTCGTTCGATCGCTTCCTTCAGCTGGCAGACACTGTAACAAAAAGAAAAAATAACTTTAAAAAATTGTCAAACAATTACAAATAATTGGATCAAAATTTCAGGTAAACCATGCATACAATTGGGACCAAAAACACTTTGCTACGTGTTTCCTTTGACTGTTTGACTGCGTCGCTCTTTTTGGGAAACTGGTACCCGACGCCACGATCATATTTCATTCCTGTCTCAGACGCCTGCAGTATACCAATTTACATGTACTTACTACGACTTAACTCGTACATGACATTTAATGGTAGACAGCCGTCTACTAGTATATTCGTAGTGATCCTCTGTAGCAAATATTCAATCACCAGGCTTCTTTATTTACATACAGGGTTAACCACGAAACATGATCGGCTTGGATTGTTCTACTGCTAGCGGTTCGATCGAAAATTTGTTTAGTTAATATAACATGATTCAAGGACAACTTTAAGATGTTCGAACCCTTTCATTCGGTGTTTTCAATGTCACCTTCAGTTTTTTATATACGAATCTATAATTCTTGTTACGTCTACCTTTCAGCGGGTACTATGATAAATTCGGCAAGCATTATAACATATAATTTTTATCCCCTAAAAAATAATAGATTTATCTGTAAAAAAACTGAAGATGGCTTTGAAAACTGTGGATAGAAAGGGTTGACAAAAAATTTGGTACAATCATCTTCTTTGCCTGATCACATCACAAGGAAAACAACTTCTATTTCATACATCGTCTAAGCCCAAAACAGGATTTTCTACGGTCGGATGAACCATTCAAAGCCATACCCCCCGGTACACATAATGAATTCTGCAATAAACCCGGCCAGTTGTACAGCTTCAGCGTCGTCGATGCAGCGATTAAGGTCAAGATTATCTCTGCACTGTATCAGGGAGGAAGATCCCTGTGTATTCCTCGAGAAGATCGAACACACAAAGGTTCCGAGTAATTGGGGGAATACCTACCAGAGAAAAGATCTAGGCGCGAGATCCACCGGTTCTCGGGTCCAGAAAACGGTGGTTCAGCGGAAGCGAGTCGCGCGCACCGCGACCTGCTTTCCGATCCTAACAACCGGATGATGCGTTTCCGTGGTTCGTATGGAAATGTAGGAAGGGGGGAACACGACAGAGTGAGATAGAGAGAAAAGAAGGAGGAAAATAAGCACAGTGGACAGTTATCCACGAGTGATCGCGAGCCTACTTTCGATCTCAAACGTGATCGTCTTGTTCCTCTCTATTTAACTTCGATATACTCGATCTCGATGATCCTCGGCGATCTTCGACCGTGAAGGCATTTAACGAGCTATAAACGGCTGTACACGAGCAAACAAATCCTGAAACAACATATGTGTATACATATACCTGCCAGGTAGGTACACTATAACGCACATTCAGAGCCTTTTAAACGGAACGCGATTAATCGGCCAGGCAGCGTGATACGAAAAGTAGAGCGTAATTCGATTGAAGAGGATAAGGTTGCAGGCCGGAACTCGGTAATTACTTCAAGGTGATATTCATCGACGACCAACTATCCGATAGCTTCGTGCTGTGAAGATGCAGAAGAAAAACGAGGGGAGCGATATATTGTAAATGCGAACAGAAGCAAAACAGCACTCACTCCGGAGTGAATGAATAAATAAAACTCCTGTAGGTCCTTCGGGTTAAGTATCTGCGTGGCCTGGGCAGGCGTAAGAGCTCCTTTTATAATTAATAAAAATGCAACTCGCGTCGTCCTCGCGACAAAAGAGTTCTCCGTATCTGTTATTTAGCCTCGCCAAGGGTGTTGACGATGACAACTCCGTTCCAATTCCTTTTACGCTCGTCGTTATGGTCAACCGTCGCGTCCTCGTTGTATTCGCGAGTTAAGAACGTTTCGAGAGGTGTCTCCGCCAATAAAACTCACGACAGTCCGTCTGCGCCGCGACACCGACGATGCAATTTCAAAGAGAGGCATCCTTCGACGCGAGAGTAATAATCAAACCGTGCAATGTTCCCAGCCCGTCACACATCGGGTTTCATGATCCTGAAGAACGACTACCGGCTTCGGTATACCACGCCTGGCTGAGAATTTACGGACTGATTGTGAAAATTCAGATGCTACTTTCACTGGCAAAATTGTTCAGGACAATTCTTGTTAAGGGCAGATTGGATATTTGAAAAAGGGTGCAGAGCTCTTTTAAACGAGGCTTTACATAAAAGACATCTAAGAGTCTAGAGCAGTGAATATTTTGTGAATGTATTGAATATTTTGTGGAGCAATTAACAAACCATTGGCATTCGTCACTTTATCGACAAAAGTTTTACCTATGTGCCTTTTTTACTTGAAGCAGCTGTTAACGTTAACCTCTTCAGGGACAAATTATTAAGATCCGAAAAAAATAATTTTTTTTTCAGGTGCATCTACTTGAAATATGGTTATAGAATATTAATGGCAATCAATTGGTACGTTATCCTTGTTTTGGTTAGGTAATTTTCGAGTGAGTGTTTATTCACAATAATATTCTTTGTATCTTTGGAAACATGTTTGAATGAAAGAAAAACTAAACGTACCTACATATATGTATACCTATGTCAGTATTCCTCAAGAGGTTAAACTTTTTCAGAACTTGGTTTATTATTATGCTGATCGGGTTTCAAGACCTTTCAGACTCTGAGGTGGGAACATGGTCCAAAAAAGGTTGGGAAACTCTGGTTTGAGGTAGAATCACGATGATCCTCCGGTAACTATGAAAGACACTGCTGTAGATTAATCTTCAGTGGCTGAAGACCCCGCCCTCTCTTCCATCCATACAACTTCAACTTCTATCTTTTCGTAATTACTCCTCAGTTATTATCTCTTCCCACAATGTCTTCACAGAAACTGCTGGAGTAAGCACCTATATTTAGTAAGCAAAATGCTACTATTCTCTGTTCACCGTCGTCTTGTAAATATAATAAATAGATCGCTATACATTTAAGAAGTTAGTTCTCCTCTTGACCCAGTAAAACTGTCAGGCTTCAAGAAACTGTATCATCTGCTCCCTTCCCAATCGGTTTAAAGTAACGATTCCCATCGGAGTGAAGACGAGAAGCATCCACCGAGCGAGTTAACGATACCGATCGTTACACGCCACTACCGAGGTCGCAGCCAACCGGTAGTAATTGCAAAACTGAACGTGTCTAATATTAACGGACGGTTAATTAACATCGTTAGGGGAGCGGAACGAGCAACAACGGATTCGTTCACGAACTTCCAGGGATCCGAGCGAATCACGGCACTGTTTGGTGCGACTTCGAGGACCGAATCCCTCCGTTTAACGGGCTAGTGGGGGGCGAATCTAGCACCACGAATAAATCACAATTACCGCCGCGCGCCTTGGTGTACGTATTTACTCTTCCGCGTTTTAGCGGTACACTTTGTAATTAGACGCGAAAATAAAAGCAAGGGGTGTATCTTGACGCACAGATATTGTCGAGGTATCCGCGGTTATACGGGCGTCTTTTTCGCGTGAGATAGTCCTGGGATGATCATCCCAGCGCGCGTAATGGACGTTGGAACAGCGTCAAACGTGCGCGACATAAACGTGGCTCCCCGAGTACGTGAGCGAAACTAGGACTCGAGACTTTGAAGGGATGGTGCTCGTGGTACAAGTGGAAAAGAATCAACGGACTCTGTATCCTAATAGAATCCCTGATGTTACGTTATAGTCTGATTGAACTGTTACTCGGAGACCCTGGCGAATTAAACTCTATCGTCGAGTTTCAATTAGGGATCATTAGAGAGGGATTATGGCATGATGCGTGAATAGGAATATAGGTTTGCAGGATATATTGATCTTGATATAATTATTAGTTTTGTGGTTATATTGTCGCTACGACCTTGCAATAGCCTCGTTAGTTTCAAGCTTAAGACCAATAAACGGGAATTACTGTAGTTTCAAATACTAGACTATCTGTTGAATTTACAGTAAATTCTCGATAAGTGTTCGAAATGATCTCTACGTTAAATACTTCTGCTTCATCCCCACTACTGGGGGGTTACCGCTTGGAGCCCAGTCAAGCGAGTAATACAACACGTCAACGGGTTCCCTTTCACGAGTGGACAGTTGAACGTTTGGGTACCAGAAAAAGATTGACAGACTGCGTCTCGAGGATACGATCGCTGATGCAACGATGAAACGTTGCAAGACCCGAAATTTATGATGCGTTAAATCGGCGTTGCTTAACGATAACTGCGCCAAAACGGTCCCGAGGTTCGAGCATTAATCGAAGATTTCCAGTAATAAGCGATTGCATTTCTTCGACACTAAGTTAAGCGAGGGCACGAGTCCAGTCTATTAAAGACACTAGAACTGTGTAGCTACACGGTGTTCCCATGAATCTTCCTTGGCATTAAAACCGTTCCCCACAGGTGACTCTCAAACGAGACGTTGAATAAGAGGAGGAAGGATATACGAGCGATTCAATGGGCTGTTCATGCAAAAACAGAAACGTCCAATTAACGGTGCGTGTCGACGAATCAACCACTCAACAGGCGCATGCACGCAATTTTCCCTCGTTCCTGGAAGCAAATTGTAGGTAGAGTCAGCAACATTAGAAAATATTTAAATGCCACGACGATTCACCGCAGAGCACCCTGGCGACGCTTGATTATAAATGCAAAGTGAATGGAACAAGGAGGTCCGTTTCAATGGAAGCCTTGGTCGGCTCGGGCTCCGGAATCCTTTTTAGACTTTCTTTTCGTAAGGGTACATAAAAGCGGTTGGGTTTACCAATCCGAGCGTACGTCGAGCGTAACACACCACGACCCCGGGATAATGGCTCGAATCAACGGGGCACAGCGACGGCGGAATCGTTCTCTTCATCGGCGATAGTTGCGCACGCCTACCGGTTTTATTTTCCTAATTCACGTTAACCTCATTCCGCCGCCGACTTTTCCTCGCCTCGTACCGTTAACGCCGTGTTCCCTGTCGCAGCGAAATACATATGCACGTAGAGTAGCTGCATTTATATCAGGTCAGAACGAAAGTTCCGGCGGCGGTGTGGATACGCGTGTGTCTTAACGGAGCTCCCTGTGGAAACGGGTTTTCGTAAACGACACGTGAATTAAACGACATAATTTCCTTGTTTGCGTGCGAAGCACTTCACCTCCCTCTTTCGCGTTATCGTCGGGATGATAAACGACGCGTACGAGACAGAAATTCCGAAAGAAGCAATCCAATTCGCTTCCGCCACTCTACGTATCGCTATCTTAAATTGATAATTGGACGCGTTACTGGGCCAAAGAATACCAGACGGTGTATCCTACTTTCTTATCGAAGAAAAAAAAGAAGGTTCGCCACGGTGTATGCTTTACGACCTAACCCAAGTACTTTCGCGTTTATCGATAATCCATCGCGGTTCTGGGTAAATATTCACGGGAATATTGCCTAAGGGAGACCCGGCAATAAAACGCTGGGCACGATATTACGATTCGCTGGGTACGTTCATGGAGAACGGATAGGAGAAGCGATCGGACCTATGTGGGATCATTCTTTCAGACCACAAACGCCAAACAATTCGGGGCTATAGAATCCAAGCAAATAACCGAATAGTGTCCCCTAATAAAGGAATTTTTGAAAGACATGATCCCATGTATACAAATCTTGGAACACACCTGACCATAATGTGGTGTAAACATCGAATAATCTGACACTAACATGTTCTCTGGTAACCAGAAATGTATTACTACACGAATCTTTTGTACAGTATCTTATCTTCTGAACCAGAACATCTATCAAATTAAGACTCCATTACTAATAAGTTTGATGCTTCTAGGACTCTCTGTATTAGGAAATATTTCATTAGACACAGTGCATCTATCGGTGAAAAATAATTTCTCGTATAGTAGAAGGACTCAGGACCGTTTAGATTAAGAAATCTTGCGTCACAAACACTGCATTTATTGATTCGAGAGAAATCATTTTCCGCATGGTGGAAGGATGGAAACGCAATTTATCCCAATGTTCCTCGATATTCGAATAAGACGGAACCACGATGACCAATTCGGTTCGCCAGCGGGCGAAAAGTTTCCGAGGAAGAAGTTTCGTAAACAGCGGAGTCGTGCAGAAGTGGATCGGAGCGCTCGGAGAGTCCGGGAGTTCGAGAGATGCAGCGTTTGCATCACGCATTAAGGACTTGGCCGAGTTTTGCCTTTTGCCCGTCGGTCAGACTCGTGTGTGACACAAGCCAATGGCCGCCCACGTTCAACACGGGCCGATTCTATTACTATTTTCGTTGCCACCTGCTCCTCTCTCGGCCGAGAAACGTCTCTCTCAGTCTGTCGTTAACGAGGCGAGGCACTAGAGAAAAAGCCTCTCGAGCACGGCTTGCCCACGTCCGTCCGCGATAGATCGATGGTTTTGCAATTTGTTCACCTTCGACGGATCCTTGGCGCTTCCACGGTGTGTCCGTTGCTCGCTAGGAGGTTGCTAAACGATAAACGACGACGACCGATCAGCGTTAACAATCGAGAAAATATCGCGTATTGGAAGAAAGATAAACGCTTTGAAGTTACAAACTGATACGAATGGAATCGAGATGAATGGAACCGAGAGTTTTTGAGAGCGATGATTCTGTATCAGATATTTGATTCTGTGATTTTGATTCTGTATAGAATTTGGAAACGCTAAGCTACCACAGGTTTTAGAATCAGTTGCTGAAATTAGATAAACATCAAATGTCAAAGATCTAAATGGATACACCTGATAAGAGATGATTTACACCTTATAACTTGTAGATTAATTCATTGAAATTTAGGAAATTAAGGATCACTGAATACCGCTTTCTGTGTGTGATCGACGAAGAAAATAAATCATTTCATCGAGGATGTAAACAGAAGAAGCGATGGGCACTGTCGTTTATTCAGGATACGAGATCGTGCCATTAATCAGGATATGGATCTATTCGGTAAAAGAGATCATCAAGGAGGCAGGATATTATCGAGTGCCAATCGATGCACAGAAAAACGGACCACGCGAACATACAGAGAAAGGATGCGACTATATATTTGCCATTTCTGCGGGCGCGCGAAGAAATAAGTTTCCATGAATTCCATGGCGGGAAGCCCACGTTCGGCGCTGGGTTGGTCCGATAGGCAACATTCGAGTTTAATGGAGGAGTCTAATCTGAGAATAATATCCAACGCGCCTTTACGATATCGTAAATATTATGAACAGCTGAATGGTCGAGAGAGAAAACAGAAAAACTAAGAGTCGAAGGTGTAACCAATTCCTACGGAAGAAGAAATCGCAAACGGACGTGCCAGAATCCACAAATGATTCTTACGGTAATTTCCTCTAGGATGTAACAACTATTGCAATCGAAATTGCCTCTTCGATAAACATCACTGACATACATTGCAGCTCCAGTTCAATTTAATGTACTGTTCAAAAGTGGAACATGTAATGAAAATTTATCTATCTAAGAATATTAACATTTGACGATTTTTAGAATAAATGTTGAAAAGCTAGAAACAAAAAGTCACTGTTGAACATTCTGCATCGGATCTTAGAAACTTAATGCCTCGATAGAATAGTTAATTAAATGTCTGTAACGCGATGTGTACGATTATCCCGTACAGTTGTCCTAGATTCGCCGAAACACAGAAAATAAACTGACAGAAAATTTCCGGCTCGGAGCACGCTGGTATACACATCGTGTTCGTTCGATTGAACGAACGGATGTAAACGATACCGACCAATATTCTTTGACGGAGAATGAATATTTAAAGTGCCGCGATTACTCAATATTCTGCGTTCGGCTCGTGCGGTTAAAGGAAATGAATGAATGAGGTCTGGGTTAGGTTACAAGGGTGGAACAGGGTGAAACGGAGGGGAATATTTATAGTTATGAGGAATAATAGATATTGGATAGCGAGGGCTCATATATATGGTGTTACTTAACGTAATTTCTTTAGAAATTTCTCTTTGGAGCTAGTAACCTATTTCGGTGTAGGTTATACAATACATTATAGGTTGTTCGCTTTAGACCAATATGGATCAGGACAAATGTACTATTTTGGTATTTTTAGAAAGCAAAGGGGTCTCGCGGCATATGTTCCACGGCTGTTAGACCACCTACACTGATTGCAAGTGGGAGTGGATTTCAACAATTCCCTGTCACATCGAATGAAACATAACCCCTGCAAGAATATTCCTCGGATTACGTGACTTATCGATGGCCTGCAGATGTTTATGCATTCGAAACACATGGAAATGTATGAAAATCGCGTAAAAAAAAAACATTAACTTTTAATAAATCTACATAAACGTGAACAGATAGCTCATTACGTATCACAAATGTTTTACGTTGAATTTTATTAAAGTCTCAATGATGATCTCTGAATTGTATCGTTTGATTGTTTACTAAGAATACTATCAAAACTTACAACGCTTTAAACGGCCCACCCCTTCATGTGTCGCTGGCCGTCCCAATTTAATAACCCAAATATTTACAGGTCACTGAACGAATCGCGCGTGTAAACGACAAATACAGAGAGTGGCAGCGTAAACAACAGATCAAAGAGGATGGCGGCGCGTGGATACAGAGAGGGACTGGCCAAGCGAGTTGACGCGCGCGCGTGAGATGAAAACAAATATAAAAATAGTGGTAAACTCACGTCTGCAGCGCCAGCTTGATGTCGAAGGTGATGGTGGTGCCCGTGTCCACGTGGAATATGTACAGCATCTTCGGGCCGGTCAGGCTCCTTCCGGTCCGATGACAAGAGTGAAACGGCCAGCCCTCGGATAGGACCCGACTGGCATTCGGCGGAGCTTAATCCTGGCCGGCGCGTCCGTGGAAGATGAAGACCCCTCTGGTCACCTCAGGTAGACTCCAGTAGTCAGCTCGATCGGGGCCGTACCCCACGTTTCCCAGCACGAGCGAGTACGGCCCCTTCGGGTTTATGCCACATCGATCACGTCCACGTACCCGTTCGTCGTCGTCGTCGTCAGGTTCACCGGGATTTCTCGCCGGGTTCGTGGCTCGTCTGCGCCCGTGCCGTCGTGGCCTATCCTCCGAGAGTATCGCACGAATCGCGTGATCGCGCGCGCGAACCGAGCGAAAACAGTCTAGAGAAGGACAGAGAGGATCAGTCTCTGTCGAGAGAATATATACGTAGGCGGTACACCTCTCTATATATGTATACACGGGTGAACAGAGGTTGTGTAGCAACGATGGGCTTTAGATCTGACCCACCTTCGAGCCGAACGGAATAGTCGTAGTGTTCGTGTGTACAGGTGGAGAAAGAAAAAAAGAACACTGAAGAGGATAGAACGATATGTCACGATATTTGAAAGACAAGTAGCCACGCACAGGCTTAAGTAAGCAAAGTTGTTGTACAGAGACTCTCTTAGAGGCTGGTCGCGGTCGAGAGTCGGTAAATGGTAGGTAGACCCCGAGGTATACGGATCCGCTTCGATCGTTATTTACAGGACGGCACCGAAGTGTATTCACGTTCTGGTTGGGTGTCGACGGGAACGAACGGGAGCGTAGTGCCCCTTGGAAACGATGAAATCGACTGACACGGTCCGAAGTAGTCTGTGGTTCGATCAACACCCCGACTTCGGTTGCTTGTAATCACGGTGTAACGATTCTTGATAACGTCGTCGGGTCACCTGTCATCGAGGAGGGCTCACGACGGTATATGTTGTACTGTTGCTCCCGAATGCATCGGTCGATCGCGTCCTCCTCCGGTTTTCCGTGATGTAACGGATCTTCTCTTGCCACGGCACGGCCGATCCCTTTAAACACAATTTACGAGTCGGCAGGCACCGACGAATACGCGAGACCGTTGTTACCCGACACGACTGCACCACGGATCGAACCTGTTTCGCGGAACGGAATCGCACCGATGGAGTACACCCGTAGACGCGACGAACGAGCTAGTCCCGGATCAGCTGCTCGTCAAAACAAAGCACTCGCGCGTACACGAAAGGCGAGCGACCCTTTCTCCGTGCTGGTCGTTACGACGTTTGAACCGCAGACGAGCAGGATCGACGTTTTATCCCGTGGACGCTTCCCGTGGTACGTAAACCGTTCGTTGGTGGATCGGTCGGGACGCTGGGGTGCTAGTTTTCTATCTGAACGGGCCGTGTGTACGCCAGAGTGACGTACCGACCACAACAAACAACGCTGCGCCACAAGCACGAAAACCTATGCGCAGAGAACGTTTCACGGAGGAACAAAGAGACTCCACTTTCGCCGCGGATTTTCCCGTTCGTGACTGTATATTTCCCGTAGCCCACGGTTCAGGTAATCTTGGCTCGACACTCGTACGACTCCGCGTCCCTTTCGAATTTTTCACCGTGAATGCGCCGAACACTTGCCCGTGAACGTCCGTTTCTTCGAAGCTCTTGCACCGTGCCTGAGACGAAGGTAGGGGGGGCAACTAGCTTGGCGCGGTCCCGTTCGACATTTTGCTCTGACGCATCGCGTCGCCAGCTGTTTACTGCCGATCTGGTCGAGCACGGAGAACAGAACGTCTGCTCGCCGTGCACTCCGCTTTCACAGATATTCCACTCGCCACTCAGCTGTTCGACCGCGATCGTCGCGCCACCTTCGATAGTAACGAAGATGGCGTGCACGATGCGTGATGCAGTTCAAACGCGAAGCTGTGTAATTTCCACGTTGTTGGTGTTAAATCGTTTGTTTGTCATTGTCTATAATGTTTGTGGTAACATTTAACCGTACTTCATCATGTTCTTGTAAAGTTTGTAAGAATCTTGTGTGTTTCGGTGTGTATGACAAGAAGAATGTTGAGTTCTGTTCTTCGTCCGGTACTCGCCACGTTCGAATTTCTGGACTGTCTGGACGTATCAATTGTGAACGATGAAGGAATGGATGGACCTGTACGAATTAATCAAACCTTCATTCTGCAGCTATGTGAGTGATATATATATATATACTGTTGTCGTATACTTTAAGGAAAATATATCAGTCGCAAACTTCCTATTAGTTATAAGAAACAACATACTTCAACTACAGACTACCTTTCAAAGAAATGTAAATTGAAAATATTTTTACAGTTGACATTCGTTTTATTAAAGATAAATGTGTAAATGCATAAATTATTCAATAGCATCTACACGAATGTCGTTTTTAAAAGAACTCATAAAAATAACGGCGCTGCCATCGATCAAGGGTACTAACGCGCATGCGCGAGGCTACAAACGACCCAGCGCCATTATTACTTCCGTGTGGAGGGTCTTTACTTCGAGTAGACTGTGAAAGGGTGAATAATGCAAATTTCAAGCTGGTGGCGTGGGGCCGTGGATGCACGCGGCCGTGTTTGTTTATATGCTGTAACGTTATCGCAGGCAGAAAGTTGTTGGAAACCGACAACGAATTTCTGCCGCTTCGATCGCGTGTGGCTGCACGAACGCCTCATGAATATCTGGCTTTAGCTTAGGCAAATAATAAACGCGACGGATATATGTATGTATACATAACGCTGCACCCGAAAATAACTATTCGCTTTTGCCACGACGAGGCTGCGTTGCGTAGTTCGCCGATCTGTACACGTTCTTGATCCGTTGTTCAGTTAACAAACTAAATGTCCGGACATCTCTAGGAAACAACACATAGTCTCCCACCGCGTCGCTCTGCATCGTAGTAAATATTGCACGCGCAATGCGTCATCGGACGTTACTTCCCTAGAAAATAACGATATGTATACAAGGTGGTCCGAAATGAGACCTACAAGCTTCTCTAGCATATTTGGCAGGTCATTCGGAGCCAGAAAGGTCGAATACACAATAGATTTATCGTCGTTCGTTGTCCAGATGAATAATATTTAAAGCTCAATGTCCGCTTGGCATAGACTAGCTCTCCACAATGACAGAAAATTTCATTCAAGCGCATTTACCCATTTTTGGGCTCTGCTGTGCCGAATTTAATACCAATTTAACAGTATACGTCGAATATAAATAGAAGCATAAACGTAAAAAGTAACAAGAAGTTTATCCGTTTTATCACGGGACACCGCGTATAGCGCAGCGAGAAGCGTTCACCTTTCGATTGAGGGCCTCGAAAGCCATAATGGGGCTGATTCCCATCTATCATATTCATTGTTCGCCTCGTGATTCCAAGCCGATTTGTATACATATGTATACGTTGCATTGAAAACGGCGACGCACGCGTCACAGGGATCGTGTTTTACGCTCGATTTGCTGAATTTTAATTTCATTGCGATTTACTTGCCGTCTAGTGTCAACGTATTACCAGGAACTTTACTGCGCCGTGACTTCTACATTAACTCGCTGCTCCGAACCGACGCAGTAGGAGCGATCTTGAATGCGTGCGAGTATCTATAGACGCGTCGACACGTGGCATACGATAAATACCACGATACTCTTCAGTATGTATATCGTAGATTAAAGGACTAGGCGAAGGCGAGGAGGAAGTAGACGCGATGACTAAAATATATCGGAAGCGTTCAGGGGAGAGGGGTATCGTTTACGTTGTGATAAATGAGTTGTGAACCACTTCTCCTCCTTCCTCCTCGTCTACTATCGGCATCGTACACGTGGGGAAATGTAACGAATATTTCGTCTAATTGCGCGTGGGACAATTTCTTCCGACATTCGCGCATTGTTATTGATGTACGCCATTTTTCGTATTTCGATAGCAACCGATAATTATTTCCACGATTAGTCACATGTATATATTTCGCATTTTGTTGCAATACGGATGCAATTTTGATAAAAGGTGTTGCACATCCGGAGAAACGCGTCATCTCATTGTGACGATTAATTTATTGGGTCGTTCGATTAGACTTTGTGCGTTTTCTCCGTTGCAAACTTTCGATAACCCTGACAGGGTTATCGACGAATTTATCCAGAGATGAGAAATTGATGACTGAATAGTTTTTCACGTTGTCAATCGCGAATGTAAATTTCATTCAAGAAAGAAAGAGACCGACATTGAGAACACACTGTGCAACTTAATATATACTATGAAAGCACGAAACGATCTTCTGTCCTCAAGAATTTATTACCCCGCATACATAATTGATTTTCGTTGATTGAAATTTACGTTTAAAGAGCCTTATATAACGCTCGTTACTTGCATAAACACACCTATATTCTCTTGTTCGGTATAATTAGCAATAAAAGTTGCAAAATATAGAGTGTTTCAGGTAACTTTCTTCAAGTAAAAAGTTTACATACGGTTTCATGAGGATTTTATATAAGGAACCTGATAGTCTTCTTAACCCATTGCCTTACAATTGATGGGATTTAGTAAACACGAATATTATCAATTTTTTTAAGTGGAAGTAACTATGCACTACTATGCTGATTTTTACATTTAACTTTTCTGACAGATGTACATTCACAATGACAATACAGTTAACTTTGCTACTGAAGAATTATCAATAATACACTAACTCCGGCGTACAAAGTCGTCAAAAAAATTCTAAGACAAAAGGTTAACAGTCTGAAAAAAAAATTGTTATTTCATTCGCGTTTCTGTAAATCAATTCGTATAATTTCACTTGTATTATATCGTTTCACAATCGCGTTTGTATACATATTCGAACGCGGCCGGTTATCAGGAAGTATCGAAATTTAAGTAGATGAAGAAATTGCTTCCCCAGGGCCGTACCGTTTTAACCAATTCAGTCCCGGTAGTCCTGCCCGGTCGGGGATCATTAACGATCGTCGTTTTCCCCTCATGAAAACGCGGAACCTTGAACGCGCGTTGAGGCCCAACGGTAAGCGGCCGTCTGATTTCTCGATTTTGCGATTGCGAAATGTTGCGCGAGCATATAATGTAACAGGGCTCGCTGGGTAGTGCCGAAGTGAAACGTAAAACGAGCCACCTGGGGGCCCAGCCAGTTCGCTGGCTGTTTAATTCCATCGTAACGTGCTCGG